CTTGCGGCCTGCACCCGCTCCTCCTCTGCCCTTCTCTGGCCTTCTGGCGCCTCCCGCCTCCCCCCACTCTCCACCCCTCACCAGCAGCAAACTGAAGCTTCTTTCGGCCAGTCTGCGCGATGGACACGTTGATCTGCCCTTCACTGAGCATCAGCTCCACGTGGCCCAGCCCGTCCCCCAGGCGGGAGAACAGTAGCAGCCCCGTGAGATCCCAGGTGCGGAAGCGAAAGGAGACGGCGAAGCGGCCTCGGCGCGGGAAGCCAGGCACTTGCACGAAGTTGTGAGGCCCTCCGAAGTTGACGGGGTGAGGAACCGGGTCCAGGCAACGGAAGGCCACCTTACCCTGAGGACGGAAGTAAGGGGCCATCAGCATCCAAGAGAATGAATGTGCTGTCTGCCTCTGCTGGGAAGTCAATTTCCGGACCGATCTAAGACCCTCCTCACGGCACTCCCTCGGGGTGTGTGCGGGGGAGGGGGTGGGACCTCCCACTCTGACCATTCCCACTCCCCACAAACATAACCAGCTGTGGAGGGGGTCTCCAACCAAGTCGGCCCTGGGGGACTCTCTGCTGGCTATCCCGGCTTTACACCGTCTCCAGGGCGACCGCCTCCTTCGCTTCCTCCCAGCCTGGAGAGGCAACTTCCTGCTGGCTTCCTGGCGGGCACTAGAATACTCGCTGCAGGGTTGGGGTGGCGTGGGGGGCGGGGACCACACCAAAACAGACCTGGGTTCAAGACCGGACTCAACCACTGTACAACTCCGTGATCCCGGGCCAAGCCACCCCGGGGTCTCTGCACCTCATTTTCCTCAAGCATTAATTGAGGATGTGGTTAGACCAGACCACACCTTCTTAACTGGGGGTTAGGGAGGGGTGGCCTTTGCACCTCCTGTGAATCCGTGGTGCCTCCCCCACCACCCCACCACTTGAGCATTTGGCTGGGGAGAGAAGAATCCTCGGCTTTTATCTGATTCTCTTTGCTTTCCAAGCAGCTCTGATGTCCCTCCCTCCCTGATCCCCCAGCCCACTGGCCTCGAAGGTGATCCTCGAATGGCGCCGCACGGCCAGGTCTGCGATGTTCACTCGGTTGAAGATTATGTTTTCTATGCAGCCTCGGAAATTATGCCGATACGCCAGGTTCTTCTGCGCAGCGCCCACCAAACCCCCAATGTACATCTGCGGGCGGGGTGGGGGATTAGGTTCCCTGGGTGCCAGAACGCGCACGCGCACTTTCTCTCCCCTCCGCCCCACGCTTTCCCAGGCACGTTTCCCCAGTATCGATGTTAAAGCTGGAAGCTCGCTGGGCCTCCCCAGGCTTGGGTGCTAGCCCTGACTCCACCACACATTGGCTGCATGCCCTTGGGTAGGTCAATTAACCTGTCTGGAATTCTTTATCTGCAGATCAGGGCCACAGAGTTGGGCAATCCAATGGGGCAATTTTCTCATCTTGTCGGATCCCCAAAACCCAGATTTCCAGATCCCATGTCAGTTGTTCTGGGGGCGGTGCCCAGGAAATCAGCCTGCTAACAGCAATAACAGCCACAACAACCCAGGCCCGTGAGCCGCAAGTTTGCCAAGAGCTGCTAGAATATTCAGGAACTGGAAAGCACTGTCTCCCACGGACCCGCCCAGCACCCCAACTCGACTAAATAAACCACTCTGCTCACCTCGTTGTCCAGGTTCAGCCTCTCAAAGTCACCATTGAGCACAAAGCGCTGCACATAGCCGTCCAGGGTGAGGTTTGCCTCCCGGCCAAATCGGTCCACACGCACATAATGCCAGTGCTGGTCGTTGAGGACGCCACCAGCGCTCACAGTGGTGTGACCGGGCCTGGGCTGGATGGGGCTGCTGCCTGGGGGGACGGAGGAGCAGGGTCAGACCTACAACCTGGAGAGCCCCAGAGAGGCCTAGCCCCCAGGGGAAGGCAGCAGCCAGGAGCACAGAGAAGGGTTGGCACAGGGCCCAGGGCATATAGAGCTTGGACGTCCTCAGCTTGGGATGGAGCGGGGTCCACCGGCGAGTATGTGACTTAGGGTAAGTCATTTAACCCCTCTGAGCCCCCGTTTTCCACTAGCTGCTTCTACTTCATCATATGGATGTTATGAAAAGCTGATGAGATACAAAATAACAACTCTTGGGTTTATATGTATATGCACACAAAGTATAAGGTTTCTACAATGAGGAAACAGACTGGAGAAGTGCCTTGTCCAAGGTCACACCACTGGTAGGTGGAGCTGAGACTGGCATCCAGATCGCCTGACTCGGACTCCAGTGCTTTGCGAGCACCAAATTGTGGGTTTGGTCCGAACAGTAAGGAAGGGCGAGCTCGGGAGTGGGCGCGGCCTCGCGGGGGCGGAGCAGCGAGGGGCGTGGCCGCAGAGCCGCCGGGATCGCCCGGCCGGCGGCGGAGCTCACCCAGGCTCATGTGCAGCAGCAAGTGCGCCCCCTGCAGCTCCAGTGTCACGTAGTCGCCTTGGACGCCCTCCGCGTGCAGCAGGAGCCCGTCCTTCTCTTCGGTCTTGAAGCTGAAGGCGAACACGTCCCACAGGCTCCGGCTGACCCCTCGCGGGAAGCGGTACGAGATGGCATCATCGCCGTCGAAATAGAGCACGTCGGACTCTGCGCGAAGGACAGTAGGTGGGCCGAGGACCGGGAAGACTGTCTCCGGAGCCTCCCCTCCGCCACCCCCAGCCACGACCTCCGCACTCGTACTGTACGGGCAGCCGTAGAGGCCGAGCCTCAGGCCGATCTTGCCGCGCGGGTTCCAAGCCAGCGGCACGATGCGGATGTAGCGCGCCGTGAAGTGGTAGTGCAGGTCGTGACGCACTATCGCCGACTCGTTCACGTTGCCGAAGAAGGTCTGAGGGGGGAAGGGGAGAGGAGAGACCAGGTCCCCACCTCTGCTTCGTTTCTCTACAGCCTCCCAGCGGGCAGTTGTCACACCCAGCCAATATCAACTTCCAGAAAGGAAACTCTCCTTGATCTCCTGGGCCCTCGTGGCTTTAGAAAAACAGGTGCCCTCTCCCGCCATCCTATTATTTCCTCAGAGCTCAACTCAGATGTCCCCTCCTTCAAGAAGCTCTCCTAGATTTGACCCTAAAGTATGTGAATCCCTGTCATCTGAGAAAGTCTTGCACACATGGTGAGCTGACCGTCCCTCTGGACTGAATCCCCAGATTGGAAGTCACTGCTCCTCACGTGGGTCCCCACCATCACCTCCTCCATCTCCCCCAAGCTAGTGCCCAGCCTAGGCTGCAGAACTGAGGAGGTTCTCCGAGTGTGTGCACAGGGGGCCTGGAATACCGCATTGTGCCCTTGCTGGTAGAATGGCGTCCAGCTGTCCACTCGGTCCCCGTAGAGCAGCATGTAGCGTGTGACCCAGTCCCACGAGTTAAACGAGCCCTGGGTGGCCACAGCTCGGATCCGGTGCTTCTTCATTAAGTCGATCTGGAGCCAAGGATTCGGGTCCCCAATTCGGGGAGACCATCCGCTTATGCCTATAGAAGAGGCAAGGGCTTTTACCACTGGCTCTCCCTAGCCCTCCGGAGCCCCCACCACGCCTTGGGGCGGTGCCTCGCTCACCGTGCAGCCGGGCAAAGCGCGGCGTGGTGAAGAGCCCGTAGTAGGAGGAGGCGCCCAGGGAGCGTGCGTACAGAGGCCCGACCAGCTCCTCGTCACAGCCGTCTAGGTTGGGGAAACAGACATTTTGTTCGCGCGGCCCCTCCCAGGTCCTTCCAAAGACCACGCACACTGAACAACTGGAGCTCTTCCTTCTCTGTTCTCCAGCAGCCACCCCAGCATTAACTGAAGCCATCTGCTCAACCTGGCCTGCAGCAACAGCTGCACACTCAGGGGAGGCTGCCTTCTCCTTCTGGGGGGACCCCTAGGCCAGACCTTCCCTAACTCTGTGACTGCTCCGGTACCAGCCCAGGCTTAGTACTCCCCTAAACACAACCCCAAACCTCAGCATCTTTCAGAACCTGAGTCAGCCCAAGGCACCAATCCAGCCCTAGCCTTATCATCAATCCCACTCATCAGCATCCCCAACCCTCACCAACCCCAAATCCAGGCCTTGGTCCCAAACCCAGCCAGTCATACCAGCATCACCAGCTTCATGTCCAACCTTAGCATCGGTCAGGGTCACCAATTCCTGCTTGGATTCCAGCCTCAAAATCCAGCCCCAGCCCCAAACCCTAGCCCCCAGGCCAGCTCCAAGCCCAGCCCCAGGCCCTGGCAAGACCTTAACCCCAGCTGGGATTACCAGTACCACCCTTATCCCCAACCCTCAAGCCCAGGCACCAGCTCCCGCTTGGATCCCTGTCCCAAATCCCTGCCCGGGGCCGACTGGATCCTCGGCTCCTCGGAGCCCAGCACCAGCCCGGGAGCGCGCGCCAGCCTCGGAGCTGCATTGCGGAGCGCGGGGGAGAGGCAGGAAAGGATGGGAACGAGCAAGCGCGCGCCAGCCAGGGAAGGGACCCGCGACCACCTAGCCGCAATGCGGCTGGACCCGCCCTGCAGGCTTTGGACTCCCTGGCCCCACCCTGCTTGCACCTGAGCCCGGCACTCACAGTAGCCCCAGCCCCGGGCTCCTGAGACCGCGGCGAGCAGGATGCAGAGGAGCCGGAGACACATGGTGCAGGGCTGACGGGTCTCGGCGGCCGCCTCCCAGTGCCCGGCTCCGGCTAGGGCTCCAGGTCCAGCTCGGGCTCTCAGTTCTCCTCCTGGGGTTCGCAGCGGATCGCTGTCTGTGCTCCTAACTCACCCCTTCCTCTATCCTCGTCTCTCCCCCAACCCTTCTCCCTTCTCTCTCTCTCTTCTGTCGTTCCAGGTTCTCCGCGGCTCTCTCTCTCCTTCCCACCCTCTCTCCTCTCACCTCCCCCCTTCCCCAGCCTCTCTCTCCCCGCACGCGCCGCTTTCCCGGACCCCGCGCAAGCGCGCGCCTCAGCCCTGCTGCGAAAGGGCGGGGGTTGAGAGCCTCCAGCCGCCGGGAAATACCCTGAATAACCCGAGGCTGGCAGGGACTGTGGCCGCAGGGGTGGGGGAAGGAAGGCTAGTGCCAGTGGAGAGGTCCCGAAAAATCCAAGAAAAGCGGGGGGTGAGTACCTGGAGATGGAGAGAAGAGTAAGTAAAAGAATCTAACATTTTCTGAAGGCAAATTATGCCTCAGGCACCTGTGCTAGGCACCCTCATAACCCTGTGAATTCGACATTTTTACCTTACTCCACTTTGCAGATGAAAAACCTGAGGCTCAAAGAGGTAAGCTTACTCAAGATCAGACAGGTAGCTAGCAAATGATGATATTCTCAAACCCATTCTTTTTCTACTGGCAGGGCAAAGAGAAAACAAAAATAGGGGGTGGAATGGGAAAGTTAGGTAAAGAGAGCCCACAGACCCTAATCCCCACCGCCCTCTTGGTCCCTCTCCCCGCCCCTTCCTTCCTGTCCCTCTAGTTTAACTTCTCTCCCCAGTGGCTATACTTCAGAAACCTGTGTAGCCAGAGATGGGGACGGAGCCCGCAGAGCAGGTGGGAGTGGGGGCTGGGGGGGGGGAAGGGTTATAGAGAGGGAGGGTAAGGCAAAGAGATGGGATTCTCCACCTGGTAACAAACTTCTGCCATGTTTTGACCTATCCAGGGTATCTGGAGCCATCTGGGACCAGGGACCTTCCAGACAGATGGGGCTGGTGATGTGAGGCTGGGGTTGGGGGATGGGACTGGGCTGAGGGGAATGGTGAGCTGAACCTAGAGGTCCGAGGTTGCAACAGAGACCAGAAAACCTGAGCCGTAACCCTTGAGACTCCCCCACTCCCCCAGTCATGAGTAGTTCAGTGTACCTGTACTGGAGGTTAGAGGTGGGGTGGGGAGGGGAGAAAGGAAAAGACCTTTGAAACCCTCTCCACATCATGCCGCGGAGTCCAGGGACCAGCTCCGAGGCAAAGCCTGCATGTGGGTGTTCTTTCCAGGAGAGGGCGCTGCAAACAGAACGGAAGCTCCAAGATTTATTAATAATAGAAACCTTGGCCTAAGGAGAGCACAGAGGCTTCACATCCATTATCTTCCTTATTTCAAACAACTGTGCCACTTGGGCCGGTCAGGATTTCTAATCTCCACGTTATATATCAGGCAACTGAGATCCAGAAAAGTCAAGGTCGTCCAGGAAGCTGGATGCAGAGGCAGGAGGGGTGCAGTGGAAGCCAAGGCCTGTTGGAGGGTATGTTAGGAAGAGTTTGGAGAAGAGTTTGTATCTTCTCCCTCTATACTGTTGTCACACAGCAGCTCCCAGCTTGGAAAGTATGTGTGGGAGGGGGAGGTGTGTGGGAAGATGTCTCATAAGGTCTCTCTCATTTTGCCCTCCCCAGGTCTCCTGGGGCCCCTACTCGGGGGAGGATGAGGAGGCATACTCCGTCGAGCCGTTGCCAGAGCTCTGCTACAAGGCGGATGTCCAGGCCTTCAGTAGGGCCTTCCAACCCAGTGTCTCCCTGGTGGTGGCTGCACTGGGTCTGGCTGGCAATGGCCTGGTCCTGGCCACCCACCTGGCAGCCCGACGTGCTGTCCGTTCGCCCACTTCTGCCCACCTGCTCCAGCTGGCCCTGGCCGACCTTCTGCTGGCCCTAACCCTGCCCTTTGCCGCAGCCGGGGCTCTGCAGGGCTGGAGTCTGGGAAGTGCCACCTGCCGCGCCATCTCGGGCCTCTACTCCGCCTCCTTCCACGCCGGCTTCCTCTTCCTGGCCTGTATCAGCGCCGATCGCTACGTGGCCATCGCGCGGGCCCTTCCCGCTGGACCGAGGCCCTCTGCTCGGGGCCGCGCACACGTGGTCTCAGCCATCGTGTGGCTGCTGTCGCTGCTTCTGGCGCTGCCTGCTCTCCTTTTCAGCCAGGACAGGCAGCGGGAAGGCCAGCGGCGCTGCCGTCTCGTCTTCCCCGAGGGCCTCACGCAGACGGTGAAGGGGGCAAGCGCCATGGCGCAGGTGGTCCTGGGCTTCGCGCTGCCGCTCGGCGTCATGGCCGCCTGTTACGCGCTCCTGGGCCGCACGCTGCTGGCCGCCAGGGGGCCCGAGCGCCGGCGTGCGCTGCGCGTCGTTGTGGCCCTGGTGGCGGCCTTCGTGGTGCTGCAGCTGCCCTACAGTCTCGCCCTGCTGCTGGATACGGCCGACCTACTGGCTGCCCGCGAGCGGAGCTGCCCTGCCAGCAAGCGCAAGGATCTGGCGCTGCTGGTGACCGGAGGGTTGGCCCTGGCCCGCTGCGGCCTCAACCCCGTGCTCTACGCCTTCTTGGGCCTGCGCTTCCGCCAGGACCTGCGGAGGCTGCTGCGGGGTGGAAGCTGCAGCCCAGGGCCTCACCCCCGCGGCCGCTGCCCCCGCCCGCCCCGCCTCTCTTCCTGTTCGGCTCCCACTGAGACCCACAGTGTCTCCTCCTGGGACTACTAGGGCTGCGAATCAAGGGGCGGG